CATGATGATTTACTCCTATGTTTTCTTCTAAGAACTTTGAATTTAAAAAATTTGTTTAATGTTTATTTTTGAGAGACAGAGACAGAGCATGAGCGGAGTAGGGACAGAGAGAGAGAGGGAGACACAGAATCTGAAGCAGACTCAAGGCTGTGAGCCGTCAGCACAGAGCCCAACACGGGACTTGAACCCACCAACCGCAATATCATGACCTGAGCCAAAGTCAGACGCTGGTTAAGTGGTTAAGTGGCTAACTGAGCTACCCAGGCGCCCCTCTGCTAAGAACTGTGTAGTTTAAGCTCTTAGTTTTAGGTGTATGATCCGTTTTGAGTTACTTTTTTATTGTAATCTTAGGTAGTACTCCAACTTCATTCTTCTGCCTGTAGATATTCAGTGGTACCAGCACCATTGTCAAAAATCAGTTGGCTGTAAATGTAAGGCTTTATTTCTGGATTCTCAAGTCTTCTGTGGTGTTCTATATATGTATCCTTATTCCAATGTCTTGATTACTGTACCTTTATAGTAATTTTTGAAATGAAGAAATGTGAAGCCTCCAACTTTGTTCAAGATTATTTTGGTTTTCTGAGTACATTACACTTCCATATGAATTTTAACATCAGCTTGCCCATTTCTATAAAAAAGCCATTGGGATTTTGATAAGGATTGTAGTGAATTTGTAGGTCAGTTTCGGGAAAATTTTCATCTTAATGATATTAAGTGTTTTTGTATTATTCAAAAACATCTGACATGATCTGTGCCTTCAACTAGTTTACAGTTTAGTAGAGTCATGTTACGAACTCAGCTAAGTAATACAAGGATGACAGTAATAAACAGAACAAGAATTGCTAGTACTACTTATTCCTGCTAGTAAGAATATTTATGGGTTTTTGCTATGTGGTAGCCTCTGTAATAACTTCTTTTACTTGTATTATCTCATTTAAGCCTCACAAAATTTTTTCATAATGAGAAAAACATAGTCCTATAAAGAAGAACATGATGATAGTCTAAAGGAGGTGAAGAGAAAGAATACTTCTTTGGGGTTTTATCAAGCAGAGCTTTGAATTGGACTTTGAAAAATAAGTAGGATTTCGATGCGAAAGAATAAGGTTTTGGGAAAGCTTCATCCTGAAGAAGTATCTGGTATCTGTAGTATCTGGAAGAACGAACCACAAGAATTTTGTTGGTGATACTGGTGGTGGCTGAGGTGTGCATTTTTGTGGGAGGACTTGTCCATATTTGCTGAGTAAGGAAACAGAGGAAAAATTGGAAGATATAAGGGAAATTGGGGATAACAGTGTACCAAGGCCTCTGTAGAGGCCCTAAACATTCAGTGCCATTACTAAATTGAGAACAGAAGAGAGATGGGGCGGGCCCCTGGGTGGCTCAGTCGGTTGAGCATCCCTCTGTTGATTTTGGTGCAGGTCGTGATACTGGGTTCGTGGGATCAAGCCCCACATTGGGCTCCATACTTAGCATGGAGTCTGGTTAAGATTTTCTCTCTCCATCTGCCACTTTCCCCCACTCGTGTGTGCTCTCTCACTCTCTCTCTAAAATAAATTAAAAGAAAAGAGAGATAGGGAAAGGCATGGAGAATTGCTTAGACAAAGAAAGAAGAGGAAGCTTTTATTTGATGGCTTTGACCTCCAGAGTAAATTTGAAGGTAATGTAATGCTGTTTTCTGAGCGAATTACAGATTGGATGATGAAGGTAAGGAGGCAGAGAAGCATAGAAAAGGTTGGAGTAAGTATTGTGAAAAATGTAATATGATGTTAAAAATTTTCGGGTAGTACCCTAAAGGACTAATTTCCACAAATTGATAATGGGACTAATTGACCTCCTTCTATCTTCTTGACTTAATTAACTGACCTTAACTAATTGACCTACCTTACTATCTTCTCCAGCAGTGTATGGTAACCTGAGAGAAAGAATGGAATAATTGAGTGGTTAGAATTTACTCCAAATTTGTATTTGACAAACAAGTTGGTAAAAGAATAAGAATTAGAGAATCAGAGATGTTACTAGTGGTATTGTTGAAATGGTGAGCCGCAAAGTAGGGGCAATAAGACAGTCAAGGCCCAAATCTAAGAAACTTCAAGGGATTAATGTTGATATCATAAACAGATTAATGTAGTAAGATGGAAACTTGAGAAGGTGTGTTCAGGGACAGGGGAAGCTCCACATTGAGGTCTTGTCATCATTTGGAACTCCTGGATCTTGAAGGTAGAATGAAAATCAATACCTTTAGAAATAAGTTTAGAGAACTTTACGGCAGGAATGTTAAAAGAGTAATCCACACTGAATGCATCAAGGATAGTGGGATGAAATGAGTCAATCCAGGGACAGAAGGCAGGCAAGAGCCTTGATTGCAGCTGTGAGGACGGAGAGAGGTGGAATAACTGCTTTGTACTTAATAAAAGGAAAGAGCTATTGATAAGTGCAGTGAAATAATAGCTTGTAATCCACAATGGAGGGAACAGTATATTTTCAAAAATTAAGACTAACATTTTGATAAAGAAATAGCATTCTGAAAATTTATTGTTTAAGTGCATTCCATTTCCCTAAGGCTTACTTTGTGTACTTGTCCAGATGATAGTAAACAAGATTTGATATATGCAAGGGGGAATTTTTATCTCCCAGACTGCATGTATGTGATCTTCCTAGGGTAGGAATTGCATCAGTCTTTATTTTTTTAGTTCGAGTCCCAAACAGTGCCAGACACATGTATGGTCAGTATATACTAATTGACGGATTAAAGGCTGGATAAACGGATCATATTAAAAGAGATGCCCGTAAGTAATTAGCTCTTGGAACTGAAAGCTAACACGAAACACGGTTCAGATAATTTTGAAGTGATTTGATTATAATGCCTCAAAATGTTATGAAACATTTCCAGAATCAGGGTAGGGTAGCTAGTAGGTTATAAAGGAGAGGGCTTTTTAAAATTTTTTTTAAAATACTTATTTACTTTTGAAAGAGAGAGAGAGAGAGAGAGAGACAGAGCGAGAACGGGGAAGGGACAAAGAGAGAGGGAGACACAGAATCCGAAGCAGACTCCAGGCTCTGAGCTGTCAGCACAAAGCCTGACGCGGGGCTCAAGCCCATGAACCATGAAATCATGACCCGAGCCAAAGTTGGACACTTAACCGACGGAGCTGCCCAGGCACCCCAGGAGAGGGCTTTTAGATGCAGTTTATGCCCTTTACCCCAATGGCTCATTTTACTATTTTTCCTTTTTTTCATCTTCAAAATTATATTTTAAGAACCAGCATAGCAAGTGCAGTCAGTGGTCTTTACTGAAATGAAATTTCTTCTTCATTCTCCTCTATCTTTGATCATTCTCCTTTACTTATAGAATGAAGTTCAGGCTTCATAGCATGGTATAGAGACACCCTCTACAAGCTGGTGCCTTACCCACGTTTCCAGTTGCATTACTTGTTTCCCTGTATTGCTATTCTTCATTTAATTCCGCAAACATATATTGATCCCTTGTTGTGTCCCAGATACTGAATTGCATGCAGCTATACTAGTCTGTAGTTTTCCCTCTATGCCTTAAAGTTTCCTACCTCTCTATTTGTTGCAGAATTTCTCCTGTACACAGCTCTCTCTTCTCCCCCACTTAACTCCGTCTATCTAAATGCTAACATAATCCTACCTCATTCTCACCTTATATCAAGAATGTCCTTTATTTCTCATGTATAACACTTAAGCATACTAAAATACATCCACCTGCTTCTCTGCAGCCCAATAATAAACTCCTTGAGTGATGAGAAGTTTTAAAATCTTTGATTCTCCCTTGTAGCCTTTTATAAATGTTTGTGGTATTACATCTGTGTATGATGGTAGAGAGAAATGGTGGACCATAGTGTGGGGGAGGGTGATTTCCATTGCCCTAAAGAACCATGGACATATATATTCCAATTTATTCCATCCCTTTACTTTCAATATCACTCTGTTTTCAAAATTCTTGTTATTTTTAGAATATGATATCTTATGTGGTCATTTGACTTTATAGCTTTAATCAAATGAAACTTCTAGAAGTTTCCACCCTAGTGGATAATGGCACCAGAATTTCTTGACTGCAGGGCATAAACCACCTTTTCAAATAAAATTTTATTCTTTAAGCAGTATTTGATGGGATCGTCAGAGATCCATAGTGAAGAGAATAAAGTATTTTAACTAATACCTGTTTCAGAAAGAAGGTGGCAGTTATGTAACTTCTAAGCCCTATTGAGAAGATTTTGGTGGTAATGGTGAGATCTGACCCTGTACCTGAGTCTTATTTTTTGACAAATCTCTTTTAACCCCGCATCTCCTTTTCAACTTCTCTTTCTGTTCATTGGAGGGCAGAAAGGTATGAAACTTTATATGCCTACAATTTCCTCAAAAAAAATTTTTTTTAATAGAGAGGGTACTTATCCTTGATTTAGTATAGTATTTTATCTTATGTTGGATATGCAGTTTGGAAGTTAAATTGCAGTATGACCAGGGGCGCCTGGGTGGCTCAGTAGGTTAAGTATCCGACTTCAGCTCAGGTCATGATTTCACGGTTCGTGGGTTCAAGCCTTGCATCGGGCTCTGAGCTGACAGCTCAGAACCTGGAGCCTGCTTCAGATTCTGTGTCTCCCTCTCTCTCTGCCCCTCCCTTGCTTGCACTCTGTCTCTAAAATAAGTAAACATTAAAAAAGATTTTTGTTTTTAAATTGCAGTATGACCAGAACATTGTAAATACATTTTAAAATTAACATTCGTGGGTTATTCTAGACATTTATATGTTTGTTGATCTCTCAGTGCAATGTACTGTCTTATCACATACACAAAAAAATGATCACTTTAAAAGTAGAAGTATTAATTTACAGTACTTTAGCACTTATTTTGTAACTTGTACTTAAAACCCTATTAGCTAGATTATAAAGAGATTACAATCAAAGATTTAAATTTCATATTTCCTTTTGTTACTGTCAGGAAAAAGTCCAGATTCAGTGTATGTTTACTTTATTTTATAGGCCTATGAAGAATACACCAGCAAGCTAGATGCCCTCCAACAGAGAGAACAACAGTTATTGGAATCCCTGGGGAATGGAACTGATTTTTCTGTTTCTAGCTCTGCATCAACGGACACCGTTACATCTTCCTCTTCTTCTAGCCTTTCAGTGCTACCTTCATCTCTTTCAGTTTTTCAAAACCCCACAGATGTGTCACGGAGCAATCCCAAGTCACCACAGAAACCTATCGTTAGAGTCTTCCTGCCTAATAAACAGAGGACAGTGGTGAGTCAACTTTTAATATCATCAGTGCTTTTTCTTTGTGTTTTTCAGAAAGAGTAGTTGTTGAAAATGAAATACGTTATCACTCCATATTCTGTGGTCATGCAAATGGAAGCATCCATTTCAAAAAGGAGTGGAAAAGACATAATTAATTGGTGCCAATGTCTGTGTCCCTTAACTGGAACAAATTGTATTGTGTTTAGTGTCCAATTTGACATTTTAACCTATCTGCCAAACTTGAACCAGACTCAAGCCTAAGTACTAGTTCAGAATCAAAAAGAATTTCCAGACTTGAGCTTGTTTGTTGTCTAACATATGTCAGGTAAGCTTTGTTCTTTGCCCTTGAAAAATCCCTATTTGGACTTATCAAATGTTGGATTTTTAGTGTGCTTGATATTTTTCCTCTGTGTAACTTTTGTTGATCATTAGCATTACCATTGGAATGAGTATTCTGTAAGTAACATTTAAAGAATGGAAATCTGCACAATTTTATGGGTGGTCTATAATCCTTGAGTACAAGTACTGTCATTGCCTTAAATAATGCATCTATATGCATTGCGACTTTTTAAAAATGCATGTGGTTACTTTTGAGGTTAATAAAAAACCTTTTCATTTCCAAATACAACTGAAGTCAAAGTAGTTTTATTTTTTTTCCCTCACACAGCATTAGTAGTAATGCTAGATTTTCATAGAAAAAGTTTGATGACTAGGCTGTTGCTTGGAGGCTATAGCCTGGAGGCTATGGTGGCCTCCAGTGAGGTTAATTTGTCACCTTGTGCAACAAAGAGATGTGAGTGTCAGTGTGTGGGGATGCAAGACTAGGCCTTCAGCCAGTGTCACAAAGGTAGTTGGAACTCAGGTCCTTGCATAAAGCTGAGTCTTTGAGGAGCTTTATCTTCAGCAAAAGGGTGAACTAGAAGAAAATCTACTTACTCAGCATACATAAATAACAATGAAACTTGTCTGTCTTCACCAGTGGTCCAGATAAAGTTTAAAGCTTCCCTTGTGAATTCCTAATTATGGGCCTGTTCTCATCATGGTGTGGGATTCATATTTGTACTTATGGGTCCTGTCCAGGAACTTTCAACGCAACAAATGGTCCTAGAGAGATAATAGCGCTCAGGCATTGGGTAGAAGCAAATGCAAACCCTCTTTGGCCGATCTAGGTCTGATGAAATTCATATAGATAATGCCCACTGACAAGTTCAAAATCCCATGTCATAAAATATACAAGGAAAGAGCCTATCAGCACATTAGAAGACTTAAAAACAGCAGGATTCCTAAGAAGGAACCAAATAGGACTTCTAGGTGGTCTTAATATTTTAAACTCAGTGGATGACAGTTCCCATCTATGAAGTATTCTTGCTAAAGATGATTTTATTGAATGTTAAGCTTCCACACCTTCCATTTTACAAGAAACACAAGGAATAGAAGAAAAAGTTAAGTGCCATGAGGAAGTGATAAATTCAGAATGTGGACATTGTATAAGACAAATGGCCTGGATTCAAGGTCACAGAAGATAAAAAAGATTAGGGATTATTCTACAACTAAACAAGACTAAAGAGATGTAAACAATTGCAGTGTGTGATCCTAGTTTGGGACTAGGATGGGGAAGAGCTATCAAAGGCATTCTTGCGATGGGAAATGGTGAATGTTGATTAAATATGTTATGGAGTTATTAATTTTCCTATGTGTGATAATAGGAATGTAGTTACGTAGGAGAATATCTTTATTCTTAGGAAATACATTTTTTAATATTTAGGGGTAAATCGTCATGACACCTACAACTTTGTCCACCTTCTTTTTTTAAATAAAACTTAGGCACAGTAAAGTATACAAATCTCAGGTGTACAGCTGAGTATGTATATGTAATTTTGTGCATATGTAACTGCCATGCAGATGAAGATACAGGCCATTTCTAATGCTTGGGAAGAGGTTCTCCCAAGCCCCCTGCAATTCGGTCATCATTTTCCAGAGTAACCACTATTCTGACTTCTATCTCAATCAATCAATTTAGAACATAGTTTCAAATGATAAGATCGAAAACAAATGTCAGAGAAAATAAATATTAAATGTTAGAATCTATGTAGAGAGAATTTGGATGTTAATTGTAACGTTCTCATTTTCCGTGTTTGAAAATTTTCATAATAGAGTTGGAAAAATGCAAAAACATATACCAAAGGAAAAATAGAAAGTTCAAAAGAAACAGTTGTCACTAAGGAAAAAAAGAAATAATGAACATTTGATTTGATGAAGTAGCAAGGCAACTTGAACTATAATTTCAGTATCTCTAGTAGTTACAGCGTATTACAGAACAGCTGTCAAAATACTAAATAAAAATTAGAATATTTGTTTAAAAAACTAAATGGATGAGATTAAAAGTAGATTAAATCCAACTGAAGGGAGGGAAAATTAGTAAACTGTGGAAAGCAAGGAAAGAGAGTCAAAGAAAATGTAAAAGAGGGGATAAGAGGTATGAAAGATGAAATGAACAGTTTCATTATATGCCTAAGAGGAGTTCCAGAAAGTGAAAATAGAAATAAAGGAGTAGAGCAGAATTCAAAGAAATGATGGCTAATGTTTGTGAAAGACATGAATCTAAAGATTTGGGGAAAACAGGCCCTGAATTGTATAAGTAAATTTTAGTCCATAATTATTAAACATAACAAAATGAAAGAATACTATCTTAAAACCATTCAGGGAAAGAATTATCTATAATAAAAAACTACAATTGGATTATTAAAAAATATTGATTGTAGCAGCTGGAGAAGCCAGAAGACAATAGAATATTTACCAAGAATGCTGAGAGGTGCCTGTTAAGTTGCTTAGCTGAAGTATGAGTTGAAGGTACATTCACTAATAAAGGCCTTTCCATATGGGGAATTTACCTTTCCCATGCTCTGCTTGAAGGAACTACTCAAAAATTACTTTAGAAAGTTGAATACAGATGAAGGAATGAAAAGGAAAAATTAAACCTAAAACTATCAAATTTATAGAAGAAAACATAGGAGAAAATCTTAGTGACCTCGAATTTGTGGCAATGATTGCATAAATATGACACCAGAAGAAAAATCCATAATGAACATATTCATAAATTGGACTTCATCAAAATTAAAAACCTATTGCTCTTTGAAACACAGTGTTAAGAGAGTGAGAAGACAAACCACACAGACTAATCTTTGCAGAACATCTATTTGATCAAAGACATGTATCCACAGCATTAGAAAGAGCTCTTTGAACTCAATAGTAAGAAAGCAAACAACTCAAAAAATAGAAAAAAGATTTGAGCAGATGCTTCACAAAAGAAGATATGTAGACAGTAAATAAACACATGCAAAGATACTCAACATCATTGGTCATTGGGGGAATGCAAACTAAAGACACAAGATGTCACTACACGCCTACTAGAATGGCTGAAATGAAAGAGTGGTCATACCAACTATTGGCAGCTATTATGTGGAATAACAAATTTTTATACACTGCTGGTGGCAATGTATAATGGTACAGTCACCTTGGAAAACAATTTGGCAGTTTTATTTAATTCAGTTCCTTTAAAATCCCAACGGTGTTTTTTGCAGACATAAGAAAAATCCATCCTGAAATTCATGTGGAGGCTCAATGAATCCTGAATAACCAAGCATTCTTGAGAAAGAGCAAAGTTGGAGGTCTCACACTTCCTGATCTTTAAACTTTTTACATGCCTACTGAGTGGCATAGACATCAGACATATAGATCAATAAAGAGTCCAGAAATAAATGATCATGTATGTGGTCAAAGGATCTTTGACAAGGGTGCCACGGCCCCCTCTGGGGGGGAGGCGGGGAGGAAAAACCCTTCCACAATGGTACTGGGAAAACTGGATATGCACATGCAAAACAATGAGGTTGGACCCTTACCTTACACTATATGCAGATTATCTCCAAATAGATCAAAGGCATAAACATAAGAGCTGCAACTATAAAACCCCTTAGAAGAAAACATACAGGAAAAGCTTCACAATACTGGACTTGGCAGTAGTTTTTTAGGTAAGACACCAAAAGTACAGGCAACATGTAAAAATAGAGAAATAGGACTATATCAAAATTAAAAACTATATGAATCAGAAGCTTTGATGCAGCCACTCTGGAAAATAGTATGGAGGTTTCTCCAAAAGTTGAAAATAGAACTACCCTATGACCCAGCAATTGTACTACTACATTTTTAGCTGAAGAATACAAAAATGCCGATTTGAAGGGGCCAATGTTTATAGCAGTAATATCAACAATAGCCAAATTATGGAAAGAGCCCAAATGTCTGTCAACTGATGAATGGATAAAGAAGATGTATTTATATACAATGGAATATTACTTGGCATTCAGAAAGAATGAAATCTTGCCATTTTGCAACAATGTGGATGGAACTAGATTATTAGGCTATATGAAATAAGTCAATCAGAGAAGGACAAATACGATTTTACTCGTGTGGAATTTAAGAAACAAAACAGATGAACATAGGGGAAGGGAAGGAAAAATAAAATAACAGAGAAGGAGGCAAACCATAAGAGACTCTTAACTATAGAGAACAAACTGAAGGTTGAGGGGAGGTCGGTGGGGGGGGTGGGCTAGATAGGTGATGGGCATTAAGGAGGGCGCTTATGGGGATGAGCACTGGGTGTTACATGTAAGTGATGAATCACTAAATTCTACTCCTGAAACAAATACTACACTGTTAACTAACATGAATTTAAATAAAAAAAAAACCCACAAAACTATGTGAATCAGAACACAGTCATCTAAGTGAAAAGACAACTTATGGAATAAGACAACTTCTTTTCATATTTACAAATCATATATATGATAAGGGGTTAATATTCAGAACGTATTTTTAAAAACTCCTACAACTCAACAACAAAAAACCTATAAACAACCCGATTAAGAAAAGGGGAAAGGACTTAAATAGACATTTCTCCAAAGAAGATATACAAATAGCCAACAAACACGGGAAGAGATGCTCAACAGTAATCATTAGGAATATGCAAATCAAAGCTACAAGGAGCTACCACCTCACACCCATTAGAATGGCTGTTATCAAAAAAAGAAAGGAAGAAAGAAAGCAAAAAAGAAAGGGAAAGAAAGAATGAACAACATGTTTTATTCAACGTAGTAGTAGAAGTCATAGACACAGCAGACACACACACACACACACACACACACATACAGAGGAATATTACAAAACCATAAAAATGGATAAGCTGAGGTGCCTGGGTGACTCAGTCGGTTAAGCATCTGATTTCAGCTCGTGTCATAAGCTTGCAGTCCCTGAGTTCGAGCGCTGCATCAGGCTCTGTGCTGACAGCTCGGAGCCTGGAGCCAGCTTCAGATTCTGTGTTTCCCTCTCTCTCTGCCCCTCTACCGCTCGCAGTCTGTTTCTCTCTCTCTCAAAAATAAATAAACATTGAAAAAAAAAAAAAAAGGATGAGCTCTTGCCAAAGAGGGTGTTATGCTAAGTGAAATAAATCAGACCGAGAAAGACATATACCATATGATATTACTTGCATGTGGAATCTACAAGATAAAACAGGAATAAACACAAAGCATAATCAGACCGGTAACTACAAAGAACACACTGATGGCTGCCAGAGGGCCAGAGAATAGAGGGATAGGCAAAATGGGTGAAGGGAAGTGGGGGGAGATACTTCCAGTTGATGGAACTAGTAAGTCATGGGGGTGAAAGACATAGGGAATATTACTATTCTGATGTTGTATGGTGAGAGATAGTAAGCTATACTTGTGAGCACAGCATAATGTATAGAGAAGTTGAATCACTATGTTGTACACTTGAAACTGAGGTAATGTGTGTCAGCTATATTCAAATTAAAAAAGTGTTTTTAATTGATTTTGCTTTAATGTTGACTTTCTCAGTGGTGGGTATATAGGAATCTGTTATACTTTCTCTTTATGTACAAAATATTTCATAATCTTAATAAAAAACAAAATCAGTTTTGCTTTCAGTTGGTGAATAATAGATACTTGAGTCATGACTTTCCTTTAATATTAAGTTAGCTCTATAAATGATGTTGTATCTAACATAGTAATCCGTATGACATTTTAAAGGTATTATAAAGGTAAGGTGTTGAGCTTTATGAAATGATGCGAAAAAATATATAATTTATTCCTTTTACCTCATACTATATATTTCTGATACTATAGGTACCTGCAAGATGTGGAGTTACAGTCCGGGACAGTCTAAAGAAAGCTCTGATGATGAGAGGTCTAATCCCTGAGTGCTGTGCTGTTTACAGAATTCAGGATGGGTATGGTTTGTATGTGATGTGAAATTTTGTTTAAAAAGGCAGAAAAACCTCAGACATTGAACTTTGGGGTGTTCTGTAGCATCTTTACCCAAACCTAGGGTGTTAAAATTTAAGTTTAGAAAAAAAAAAAAAAAAAAAAAAAAAAAGCCTAAAGAAAATTTGCCAGCCTTTTGAGGAGTTAACATTAGACAGTTTTGTGTGATTATAGTATTTTGTTATTCTGATCAAATGACTTTATTTGGAGTTGGAGAATCTTAAAATTTTTGAACCATTTAGAGTGTGACTTATTTGAATAACGGACTCTACCCCACGCCCATTTTTAATATAAATTCATAGTTTCACAAAAGGCTTATCAAAATTAACATTTTACATTAAACTGTTTTTCTTTCAAAAAAGTGTCTAAAATTGTGCCAAGACCCCCCAAATTTTGAATCCTGTTTTTTAAAAAATATCCTTTTTGGGGCATGTTGTCCCTTGAGTGCTGTTTTTATTTTTTTAGTTTTTACTTTTTTTTGAATGGATAGATAAATCCGTACCTGTGATTTTTTTTTTTTTTTTTTTTTTTTTTGGAGGGGGGACCCTAGGAACAATCAATTTTCTGCTGTTGTAGGTCTTTTCTGGAGCTGACTTGAAGAAAAGAGTACATCTCTTTACCCTGCTGTTTGTCCAAGAGTGATACATTTATTTGGGGTAAACTTAAAAATTAATTTATTGCCATTTAAATTTCTAACGATGGAAGACTAGGGAGCCAAACCTCCCTCACCATTACTAGCCCCTCAATAACCAATTTTCATATCTTCAGCATGAGGTATGTGAAGATTTTTAGGTACGCTAACCAAGAAAGGCTGTGTCTACACTTTTCAGAGAGAAGAAACCAATTGGCTGGGACACTGATATCTCCTGGCTCACCGGAGAGGAATTGCATGTAGAAGTGTTGGAAAATGTTCCACTTACAACTCACAACTTTGTATGTACTTGTACATTTTTTCTCAGTGTCAAAAACGTTCAGGTTCTTGTGCATGAGTTTTTATTTAAGGAATATGCAATATGGATGAGTTATTTAGGGATTGATATTTGACCTAGGTTAAAATCAGTTCTTTAAAAACTTCATATTTAAACTAGAGTTTTATTTTCATCATATACTTTCTTTTTAACTTGAAAAAGCAATAGATGACTTTCATTAAAAGGAACTAAAAAGAAGGGGCACCTGGGTGACTCTGTAAGTTAAGCGTCCACTTCTTGATTTCAGCTCAGTCATGATGTCACAGTCGTGAGGTAGAGCCTGCTTAAGATGCGCTTTCTCTCTCTCTGCCCATCCCCCGCGTGCATGTTCTTTCTCTCAAAAAAAAAAAATTTTTTTTTAAAAAGAACTAAAAAGAAAATTTGAATGGTACAGAAGTATATCAAGTAAAAAAATGAAAATAAGAGGGTAAACATTTGTTATCTTGTATTCTTCTAAACTCTTCCTGTATATACAAATGTGTGCTTATACCTGTGAGCCCAAAGTTTTTTCCTTTCTCTTTTTTCCTTCCTTCCCTTCCCATTCTTTCCTTAAATGAAATATGGAGTCATATTCTGTATGATATTCTTCACCTTAAAGAAAAAAAAAATTCAACAGTGTATCATAGATCTCTTGCCACATCAGTACACCTAGGTTTGTGTTTATAGTGATTGCATAATAGCCCATATTTAACCATCCTCTATTAATAGACATATAAGGGGTTTTAAAATCTATTTTGTACAGGACTAAACAGAATTTTTGTGTACAGCTTGATACACTTGTGTAAATGTTTCTGAAGGATGAGTTAATGGAAGTGGAGTAGCGCTCCTTGAGGACCTCTCCCTTCATCTGGGGTTTGCATTTGCTGGAACCTAGCCTAAGCTAAGTGTCACCAGCATGAGACCTGGAATGTGGGACATCTCCACCTTAGTGATGAGGGTATAGTGCCCAGAGTTTGAGAACTTACCCTCTAAAGGATAGGCAGAAGCCTAGAGTAGAATGATCTGTAAGGCAGGAATGCACTTCTTACTTTCTATTATATATGGAATTTTGACAAGAGTTTAATTTTTCTAGATGGATAGTTATTGCTAATGTTTGGGCATCCAGTGCTTTCTCGTGTGCTTTGGTGATCAGTACAGCTGGACTCCTAAAGCAGATGAATGATGAGCTGATTTCCTTGGGGGTTTGTGCTTTCTGGGCTCCATTAGTGGTGAATAATTTGTGCTTCAGTAAATAAGACTTCTTTTTTTTTATGTTTATTTTAAAAATTTTTTATGCTTGTTTATTCTTGAGAGAGAGAGAGTGACAGTGCACAAGTGGAGGAGGGACAGAGAGAAAGGGAGACACAAGATGTGAAGCACGCTCCAGGCTCTGAGCTGTAAGCACAGAGCCTGACGTGGGGCTTGAACTCACAAACCGTGAGAACATGATCAGAGCCGAAGTCAGATGCTTAACTGACTGAGCCACCCAAGCACCCCAAATGTTTACTTATTTTTGAGAGAGAGAGAGAGACAGACAGACAGTGAGCAGGGAAGGGGCAGAGAGAGAGAGAGCGAGACAGAATCTGAAGTAGGCTCCAGGCTCTAAGCTGTCAACTCAGAGCCCAACGTGGGGCTTGAACTCGTGGACCACGAGATCATGACCTGAGCTGAAGTCAGAGGCTTAACCCACTAAACCACCCAGGTGCCCCAATAAATAAGGCATCTTTTTGATGAATGTTGTCAGTCAGATTTACTATGTAGCAAGTAGTTTTGTAATGATGACCTAGCAAGTTCATTACTATTTATTATTTTTTTAATTTGTAGAATTTGGAGTGGATAAATCTGAAGATAATTTTAAGTTTTTAGGATCCCAAAACAGTAGAGCTTACATTTCACAATGATTACTACTCTTTTTCTTAATTATTCTTCTTAGCTAGAAATCAGTTAAGAGGAGGTGAAAAATCTAATGTTAAAGTAGTGCCTCGGGAAGGTCCTTGCCACAAGAGAATAATGAAAACAAACTGCAGAGTATAAAAATCCTCACAACACAGTTGGAGACTTGCCAGTAAATATTTATTGAGAACTTTCCACTTACCACCACTGTTTCTGATCTGGGGATATAACAATGAATGAGAAAAACAATATCCTTGCCTTAGAGTAGAGAGACAGATGATTCAATAGAACATTTCATAAACACTCTTAATTACCGTGTATGTATAAAGTACAGTAGATGCACAGAGTAGAGACTCCTAACCAGGCCTTGGAGGATCAGGAAAGTTTCCCAAAGGAAGAACTATCTAAGCTAAGGCCCAATGGATGAGGGAAGAATACTCTCAACAGAAGGAACAGTGTAAAAGCATGGTGCTTACAAGCTCTGAAAGAAGTTCAGGGGGTATGGAATCAAATTGGAGAGGGAGTGGTTACAGTGCAGCAAGAGTTAGGGCTAGAGTAAGAAGAGTCCAGCTCGTGGGAGTCTTTGTAAGGCATGTTAAAGACCTGGACTTCTCTCCAAAATAATTGGAAATTGAATGCTTGTAAACAGGGGAGACCTGGGAATGGATTTGTGTTTTAGAACAGTTGCTGTGAGTGCCATGTAGAGACAGGAAAAGCCTGCATTCCGTTTAAGAAAGGGAAAGAATTCCTCTCTATGCTTCTCTCTGCTGGATCTTGCTGGCTACTGGAGGATAGCTGTTTATGCCTCCTGGTTCCATAGAATCCGTTATAAAAGCAGTTCCTTTGGTATTTGCCTGGGTTCCAGAAATCCCTGGGAACTGACAGGGTGGAAGTGGCAGGAAAGGTAGAAAATCTGCCTTCCCGTGCCCACTTTTATTGACAAGAGTATACTCATATTCAGGTACATGTCACAATTTATACTCCTGCGTACCCACATTTGCTTCTCGTTTCCATTCCTCTGCTTCCCTTCCTCCTCCCCTCTTGCCTTGTGTGTTTTTTTCTTCTGTACATACACAAACAGCCTGGTACACGTAGGTTTCAAGTAGAAGTCAGTAACAGGAAGAAAAACTGCAAGTGAGTAGATTAATGAAAAAAGAAATTAGGGCTTCATGAAACTGAACAGATTATCAGATGAGTGAGAAATGGTTAGCAAAGAGGATCAGGTGATTATAAAATAATTCCTGTGAACACGTTTTGTATTTTTCTCTGCTCTATCTTCTGAGATCCTGCGAGAAATACAAAAAGTCCTCACGTTGGCGAGTAATGGCCACATAAATGTTAAAGGTTTTCTAATTTCTTGCATATCCAGAGACAAATGGAAAAGTAACAAAGCTAAAAACAAGTAGTTGCCTTTTATATTCTCTAGAAAGTGATACATAGACCTTTTTAGGTGAAGAAAACAAGAGCCACTCTTGAAATCACTTGAATGTTCTCAAAAAGCTGGAATGTATCATGTGCCAAGATATCATTTTCCTGATGAGACATTATTGTTAAATATCTTTTTATCCTGCTAGATGTATGTTTATTGAAAAGAGTTTGGTATACCGTGGGTATTGAAATAAACTTACTGGCTCATGAAAGGCATTTGCATGGAATAGAAAGTTCTGATGTACATTATATATGGTCAGCATAAATACTGTTATATGAATATAGGTATGTCCTGGGTCATGATGTAAAATATACTTCTTACTATTGTTTGTGATTAAAACTGTCTGAGACACTGAGATGAATTAAGGGCATATAGGAAAGACAAAGGACAAAATAGTCACCTATGCTTTCACCACTCTGAAATAGCCTCTGTTAACATTTCGGTATTTATCTTTCTTATATTTTCTGCTTATTCTATATGTAAAACAAATACTCTAAAAATAATTTCTGGCTTCAGTAGTTATCAGGATAGAGCCTCCCTGACGCAGCTCTTATTATGTGACCCATGTCGTAGATCATTTGCCTTCTGACATGGAGTTCTTAAGTTTCCCATAGAGGAATGTTCACAAACCCATTTAGGTATTCTAATCCTCTAACTGATAATTTGTTAAAAGTGGTTCTTACTGTCTTTTAGGTGATTTTCCTATCCCGTATCCTAGTCCGTTTCTGTTTTAAAGCTCTTTGGGTGTTTTTTTTTTTTTTTTTTTTTTTTTTTTTTTTTTTTTTTTTTTTTTTTTTTTCCTATTACTAAGTAGTAACTTTAAGCCAGAGTTCCTTGCTTTATCAACCTCGGCCATCATTTACTGATCACTGATTTTATAGGGAATTAGCTCATTTGTAGTGTTACAACGTTACCTTTTTGTTCCCCTTTAAATAATATACCATCCCACCCCACCATGTAAAAATAAATAAATAAATAAATAAATAAATAAATAAATAAATAAATAAGTAAGTAAGTAAGTAAGTAAGTAAAATGCCATTGTTTCTTGTTCTGTCAGCAGCAGCAAGCATCACTTCTTTCGTGGTACAGTTTTTACAGTGTGTCCTCACCCTTCCTTTCACGCCTGTTCCCTCTTTCTACTTGTTATCTCTACACCTGCTTTCATGGAGTCAGGTTGAAAATAGTTTCCAGTCTCTTATTCACTTTCCATCTTCTTGACTCCTGAGTTTTCTAAATTGGATATTGAGTGGGAGATAAGTACATATGGTTCATCTCTTGCCTTGAACCCCCTGGTCTTCATTTTAATATCTTTGTGTGTAAGGCAGTTCTCATGATATGAACATATTAAAGATTTGTTATTTTAAGCAAGAGAGTGAATAAGTTGATTTCTAAAAAGATACTTGCAAGTTTTTAAAATGCTCTCTGATGTTTTTACTTTGCAGGTACGGAAAACGTTTTTCACCTTAGCATTTTGTGACTTTTGTCGAAAGCTGCTTTTCCAAGGTTTTCGCTGTCAAACGTGTGGTTATAAATTTCACCAGCGTTGTAGTACAGAGGTTCCACTGATGTGTGTTAATTATGACCAACTTGAGTAAGTAATAAAAAAAAAAGTCTCTTTTCTATCTACCATTTTACATTTAACTTTTCTTAATGTGAAACGAGTATCTTAGAATCTGGGAGTTTTCTTTCCAGTAGAGTTACAGGGAATTAAAAAAGGGTGGCTGGGGAATACGTTGTAGCGTAGCCAGTACTGCTCCCCCAAATTTAACTCTGATTCAGCTGTACATTTCGTTTATGTGTTATATTCTCTTCTAATGAATAAAGTTCCCTTGCCCATAGACATCACTGATAGATGGTTTTTGGGAGGAGAGTGGTGTGATTTAAACTAAGTTAACCATTATATTTTTGGATCACAGATCAGAGATTCTGATCCTATCACTATTTTGTAAATTATGTGTGTTCTCTCTCTCTTTCTCTCTTTCGGTCTCTCTCTCTCTCTCTCCTTCAACCTCCCCCGCCCAGTTTATTTGAAAGTAAGATATAAAATCTTTGTACCCAGCATATCTTTCTAAAACTTCTATTTGCTTTATGCCACAGTTTCTCTAATAGATTAGACTGAGTCTATTGTAATCTTTTTTGTTGTTGTTGCTGCTGCTACTACCGTTAAGGTCTTATTACTTTGCTTGATCACTTGAGCAAAGAGAATTCAACTCTGTACTTTAAAGTACATTTGATGTAATCTAACTTAGCAGTTGATACATTTTCTTCTAATTCTTTAACCATAAAGCATGATTTTTCCCCTCTAATATATAGAAATTTGCTGGATAGAACAATTAGTTCTAGATTATAAGCTTGCCTTTCAAAGTGCAATATAATTTTTTATAAATAAGCCTTTAGGCAAAAAACGACTAATTGAATTTAACAGTCATTTCTGAAAGTGGAATTTGATCTCAAATATTTCTGTTCACTCTATAATGTATTCTGGTGTGTGAAGCTTCTGGGTTTTGCACAAGTTAGGTTTGTTTTGTTTTGTTTTTGTTTTTGCCTCACAGTTTGCTGTTTGTCTCCAAGTTCTTTGAACACCACCCAATACCACAGGAGGAGGCCTCCATAGCAGAGACTGCCCTAACGTCTGGATCGTCCCCTTCTGCCCCCCCCTCCGATTCTACTGGGTATGACTTGACTCCTGCTGTTCAATAACAATGCTACTTGAGCTGGTTTCTTTTGGATCTTTTGGTTAATTATGAACCTTTCCAACACTTGGACTGTTAAATCAAGGATTTTTCTCCAAGTAACTTATTTTATCACATCAGACAAATGAATGATCACACAGGCAGATGTACACAATTTTATCACATCAGGCAAATGCACATGAATTCGGTAAAGGTACATGGGATTAAAACTGACTTAGACTCTTTCAGGACCAGCCTTGGAAAAAAATCAAGCAGCAGATCATTTAGAGTTCCTGCCTTGTGCTCATCACTTTACTAGGTAATATCAAATATAGAAGTCTGTGATTCCCATTTAGAAAAGCAGCATTAAACCAATGAGACAATGGCAAACAATTTAAAAATAGTCTGCAATTTATGACATAATATTTTAAGTGATGTGAGAAGGACATAAATATTACCATGTTTACCATAGAAGAGAGAATAGTGAGTATAGTCAAGAACATTTAGTGAAGAAATGGGATATGAATTCTAGAATGTGGATGAGCCCAGGGAATAAAAAGCATGATGATGGGTGGTGGGATGGTAGATTTGAGAGACAGTGAACGGAGGCTAATCTAAGTTGATAAGTAACATGTGTAAACCCAAATAATGAAGGGTGTTGAAATTCAGACTAGAATTTAGGCTTAAGACTTAACACAAGAGGGGGAAGAGGTAGTTTTTGAGCAGAGAACTGGCTGGTCAAAATGATTTTAAGGAAGGGATCACCACGTAGCAATGAGAGATGGATTGATGGAGAAATGTCTAGGGTGAAGAAGGCCAACTCAGATGCTGTTCATAGTGGAGACAGTGAGTGGCAATAAAGACTTGAAGTGGGCTGTATGGAGAAGGGATGGATATGCACAAAGTGTAAGGAAAAAAATTAATAGTATTGTTAGTTGTGGAGGATAAATGAGAAAACTGACTTTAAAGATAATATAAAGGCATCATATATTCAAGCTTCATAGTAGGAAAAAAAAGAAAAAAGATGATGAGTTTAATAGATATTAGTATTTTGTTGGAGAATTTCTTATATATGTCTGCATACTCTTTGTTGGGTTTGAGGCAGAATAAATTATACTATATTTGGAGCATATGGTTAAAAAAAAAATAAAGTCCTCACATGGCATTCTCTCTTATAATATTCCAGAGATAGTTAAGATCAGAAATATTTATTGTCAGTTTGAACCCTACTTCCTTCCTCTCTTCACAAGGTAATGCTATTTTTTCTACCTAGAGAGAGAAGACAGTAAGTGGATAATCCCAAGAGACCTGTAATTTTACAAAGCCAACTTTTCTAGAGGTTTCATAGGCTAGAAAATTTACTAAAGATTTGTATTAAGGACTGTATTTTTATCTACTTAGAAACACTAGAAAATGCAAGCATTTATTTATTTAGTCAGGTCATAACAGTTACCTGCTCTAGTGGAGTCATTTTATTCCTGCTGTCTCTATCATTAGTTCTTTGCACCTGTGTCTTCCTTAGGAGATCTAAGTGTTATTGTTTGTTTTTATTTTTAATTAACCTTCTGGCTATGGTATTTACTCCTGACAGTTCTGTAGACCATGATGCCTTTCCAGTGGCAGGTCCTAGTTCTATGAGCAGAGTTACAGAACACCATAATGAAATTAACTTGGTTTCTCTGAAGGTTTATAATGGTAATGATCCAGGGCAGGTGCCTTTCAGTGAAGGGATGCTGTCTTAAAATTGAGAAACCATTTGCCTATGCCATGAGTATTTTATGTATAACCAAACTGTAGTACCTTCTGGTCTTGAGCAAATGATAAAAAAGATATTCAAACTTTTGTTTCCCTGATGCTTTTATGTCACAAGTGTCTGTATATGCCTGTGAAAAGATAGAAGCCAATCCTGTTCTGTATTGCTGCTCCTTTGCATTATGTTAATAGTCTTTATAATAATTCTAGTGGTCATGAAGCACATAGAATAATGGATGTAACCAAGACATATTGGAGAAGTGATACATTGCCCAGTTTTGAATTAAAAGTTAGAGGTACCTCCTTTTCTGCTTTTTAAAAATGTTATGGAATGTGTGAATGTATAAAAAGTCAGCTTTTTAAAATTTACATATTGCTGGGGCCCCTGGGTGGCTCAGTCAGTTAAGTGACCAACTCTTGGTTTTGGCTCAGGTCATGATCTCACAATTTGTGGGGTCGAGCCCCACATCAGGCTCTGCACTGGCAGCATGAGGCCTGCTTGGGATTCTCTCTGTCTGCTTCTCCCCTGGTCGTACTCTTTCTCTCTTAAAATAAATAAATAAACTTTAAAAAATAAAATGTACAGGGGCACCTGGGTGGCGCAGTCGGTTGGGCGTCCGACTTCAGCCAGGTCTCGATCGCTGGTCCGTGAGTTCAGTTTCATGGCTTAGCGTCGAGCTCTGGGCTGATGGCTCAGAGCCTGGAGCTGCCCCTTCCCGGTCTGTGTCTCCCTCTCTGCCCCTCCCCCGTTCATGCTCTGTCTCTCTCTGTCCCAAAAATAAATAAACGTTGAAAAAAAAAATTTTTTTTTAAAAATAAAATTTACATATTGCTGAACAGAAGGAGTCACATTGCTTCAAAGCTTTTAATCTTCTTTTTTTTTTTTTACCGTTTGTTTTGGAGGGCTTTTGAAAGGGGGGAGGTTAGAGAGCAGAAGAGGAGACAGAGATCTGAAGCATATTCACTGACAGTGAGAAGCCTGATACTGGATTCAAACTCAGGAACTGTGAGATCATGACCTGAGCTGAAGTCAGTCATTTAACCAACTGATACCCACAAGCCAAAAACTTTGAATATTCTTTTTTTTTTTTTTTTAATGTTTATTTATGTTTGAGAGAGAGACAGAGTGTGAGCAGGGGAGGGGCAGAGAGAGGGAGACAGAATCTGAAGCAGGCTCCAGGCTCCGCACCGTCGGCACAGAGCCCGACACGGGGCTCAAACTTGTGAACTATGTGAATCATGAGATCTGTGAGCTTAAAAGTCGGGATGCTCAACCCACTGTGAGCCACTCAGGCTTCACCCCCCCCACAACTTTTAATATTCCAGATTGAAAATAAGATCTAAACTAAGTGGTAATTTGCTGAAGAGTGTTAGAGGTAAAAATTTTTTATTTTTAATCTGATACTGCTTTAAAGAGGTTTGCAACAAGATAGGTAGAGGTGTCATTAGGAGAAAGCCAGTTACTGGCTGCCAACATACTTCACTGGGTATAAATTGTGTTGGTCCGGGTAAAGATGCCCTAGTGTGGAAATTCAATTTTATCAGTCCCCAGAAATGATGAGAGTTAGAGATACACTCGTTTACAGTAACCAGAATTAGAAAAGACTGAATCAAAATTCTAGGTAATTCATTTCTTTGAGAAATATAGCTGTTGTATAGACCAGAGTTCTTGTGTTGGATGGACCAGCACTCCACTGTTGGAAGATATTTTTGAGAAACCAAATTATAATCCAAAGATTGCTTTTGTTAAGCATGGGATTAGCACATGGCTCAGGGGCACCTGGGTGGCTCAGTTGATTAATCATCCAACTCTTGATTTCAGCTCAGGTCATGGTCTCGCAGTTCGTCAGATCAAGCCCCATTTCGGGCTCTGCACTAACAGAGCAGAGACTGGTATTCTCTCTCTTTGCCCATGCTCCTTTTGTGCTCTCTTTCTCTTGCTCCAAATAAACTTAAAAAAAAAAAAAAAAAAAAAAAAAAAAAAGGACATGGCTCAGATGTTTAATGACATTAGGATATAATAACTTGAAGTTTCTCACAAAATTATAATACACTGGGCATCAATGCTAGGTAAATTGATTTCATGGACCACCATATGCCCTCCACTGGGTGATGTTAGATACCAGCTGCCAAATATAGTCTTTCTCATTTTGTGAATAGGCAGACATCGTCACTTTCTTATGTATCCATTTTTTTAGATAATAAAATTTATCAGATTAAATCCTGGTTTTCGTTTCTCCTACTTCTGAACCAATGCCCTTTGAATACATGTTTCTGCTTTGTTATAGACTACATGTTGCAGTCATAGTCTTAATTCAGTAACTTTCAAAAATGACTTGCTGTCACTTAATGCCTGCATCAGATCAATTATATTAGATTGATCCATTATATTAGGTTAATTAGAATGCCCTGTACAACTGTAGTTAATTCAGGCTTTTTCCACATTTAAGTCCTAACTTAAAGTATGCAATTGCCTTGAGACTTTAAATTAGACTATAGTTTTTTGAAAGTAGGTACACTTTCCAAAACTTTTTTTAAAAACCATTTGTTATTTTTACATTCTTTTACCTGTTCTCAAAATCCCTTAGCAAAAGCCATATATTGGCTGCCTAAGGCAAAATTAAAGAAAGCTCTGTCACAAATTAAAAATTTTTCAAAAATGGGGCGCCTGGGTGGCACAGTCGGTTAAGCGTCCGACTTCAGCCAGGTCACGATCTCGCGGTCTGTGAGTTCGAGCCCCGCGTCAGGCTCTGGGCTGATGGCTCAGAGCCTGGAGCCTGTTTCCGATTCTGTGTCTCCCTCTCTCTCTGCCCCTCCCCCGTTCATGCTCTGTCTCTCTCTGTCCCAAAAATAAAATAAAAACGTTGAAAAAAAAATTTTTTTTCAATAATGACAATAAAAATTTTCTTAAGGCCAGGTCCATCAGTCTTAACCTGTAATTTTCAGTGGGTGATAACCAAGTCTTTAAACTACATAATATTTTATTATTTTTATTTCAGTTACAAGTGGACTGAGTATGAACAAATAAGCTCAAAATTTCTTTCCCTACCTTTGATAGCGTACTTCAAAGAGTAAAACAATAAATGGGTGGGGTTCAGATTTTGTTAAAATGCTTTATTCAGAACCTTAGGGGAAAAAAAAAATCTTTTTGTCACTATTTGGCTTTGGCTTTTCAAACCTTTTCTACTATTTTTTTCTTCCCGTACTTTCCTAAACCTGTCTCCTCACAAAATGTCTTTTTATTCCCTCCACATTTTCATTTTGGCTGTGTCTTAATAACCAATAAAAAATGATGATTAGTTATAGAGTTTGCATATTAAATGGGGTGGAATGAGGGCACCTGGATGGCTCAGTCGGTTAAGCATCCGACTTTGTCTCAGGTCATGATCTTGCAGTATGTGGGTTCGAGCCCCGCGTTGGACTTTGTGCTGACAGCTCAGAGCCTGGAGCCTGCTTCGGATTCTCTGTCTCCCTCTCTTTCTGCCTCTCCCCAACTCGTGCTCTGTCTCTCAAAAATAAACAAACATTAAAAAAAATAAAAGGAAAAAATAAAATAAATGGGGTGAAATGATACCAGTCTTTGTAGAGAGGCTGTGAGCACTGCATCATTCATTGGTCTTGATGGAGCTCATCAGGACAGCCATACCTTTTCTTTCACATGATACTTACCCTTCCCAGCTCCCTTGGATATTCTTTCTGAGGAGCCTAGACTACTCACAGGTATTTACAGTCTATTCACAAAATTTGAGTGTGCTTTGTGAGTGTGAGGTTCCTTTCAGGGCAATGAGAGATCGTAGAATTTGTTATTTATCTACAGTAACAAAATAGATCACTGTCACCTATTTTGATGATTTCATCAAAAGCAATTTTAAAGAAGATTTGCTTTAATGCTTATTACTTGATTCTCTTGCATCTCTTAATTATTGGACACGGTAAGAATGATAAAATATGAGAGGCTGACACTATAAGGATCATCTTTTGGATGTGCAAATGGTCTTTTGCTATTGTTCAAGATTTTAATTTAACTCTGTGTAAAGCAACAGATACATCTTCCAGGTCCTGGAATCCACAGGTGTATTTTCAAAACATAATTTCCTAATACTTTGCATAAAAATTCCATTTTAGTATCTAGAAATGGCAAAGGTAGAAAAAAATAGATTTTATTCAGTCAATCTCTAGTATTTAGAGATTTTTGTGTAACTTTAAAGAGTTTCTTTAGCTGATTAACTACAGGTAATTTCTAGCCATTTTTAGATTTCCCTGGAGTTCTTGGATAAGAATCAGTGTTCTTGTCATTAATCGTCCCTAGAGGGTCTGCTTCAGCAAAAGCAGCTCTTCAGTATTAATTATAGGCATATATTAGTTTCTTAAACACCGTTACTGCTGGGTTTTTAATGCTTTAAAGATTTTATTGAGAATATGAAAACAAGGAAATCTTTAGATCACCCATTTTTTGTTTTTATCTCTTTAAAGTTGCTCTGAATCTTATCTTTCAATGACTTGATTTTTCCAGGCCCCAAATTCTCACCAGTCCGTCTCCTTCAAAATCCATTCCAATTCCACAGCCTTTCCGACCAGCAGATGAAGATCATCGAAATCAATTTGGACAGCGAGACCGGTCCTCATCAGCTCCAAATGTGCATATAAATACAATAGAACCTGTCAATATTGATGTAAGTATCCAGCGTTATTAGAACTAAAAAAATTCAATTATATTTCTTTTTCTGCTACATTTATAATATAGATCAGAAATAAGTGCCATCTTTCAAGTGTCACAGTCATTAGGTGATTGACTTCGTGAATTAGTGATCAGAAAAAACTTGTCATCTTCTCTGATGGTATTAATACTTAACTGATGCCAAATTGTGGAGTTGTTCGGATTTGTTGCCTTATGATATTGTTTCTGCAAAAGTCTTATCTTCATTTATTTAATAGATAGTCCCTTGGCCATTTCATGGTAAAGAAATAAGGGTACCATTGCAGCTTTTCTATTTGGATCAATTTGAAATCTGTATCTAAATTTCTAAAAGTACAGTTTTAAGTTAAATAACCCTTTAGGACTAATCATTACTTTATGTACAAGATATGCAAAGCTACTTTTTACCTTCCTTACTTTTTTTTTTTTAAATGTTTATTTTTTTTTTTTTTTTTTTTTTTTTTTTTTTTAATATTTTAATTTTTTTTTTTTCAACGTTTATTTATTTTTGGGACAGAGAGAGACAGAGCATGAACGGGGGAGGGGCAGAGAGAGAGGGAGACACAGAATCGGAAACAGGCTCCAGGCTCTGAGCCATCAGCCCAGAGCCCGACGCGGGGCTCGAACTCACGGACCGCGAGATCGTGACCTGGCTGAAGTCGGACGCTTAACCGACTGCGCCACCCAGGCGCCCCTAAATGTTTATTTTTGAGAGAGAGGGTAAGTGGAGGAGGGGCCGAGAAATAGAGACAGAGGATCTAAGCAGGCTCCATGCTGTCAGCACAGAGCCGGGTGTGGCGCTCGAACTCTCTTTTCTTTTCTTTTCTTTTCTTTTCTTCTCTTCTCTTCTCTTCTCTTCTCTTCTCTTCTCTTTTCTTTTTAACATTTATTTATTTTTGAGAGACAGAAAGAGACAGAATGTGAGCAGGGGAGGGGGCAAAGAGAGAGGGAGACACAGAATCCGAAGCAGGATCAGACTTCGAGCTGTTAGCACAGAGCCCAATGCAGGGCTCAAACTCGTGAGACACCTGAACTCGTGAACCACGAGACCATAACCTGAGCTGAAGTCAGACGCTCAACCGACTGAGCCACCAACGCACCCCAACAGACTTTCCTTAAAGTAAATATTTTAGGCTCGTGGGTCATATGATTTCTGATGACAGCTGTTGAACTTTGTCATTGTAGTGTGAAAGCAGAGATAATACCTTATAAACAAATGGGTGAGGCTTTATTCTCATAAAACTTTATTTACAAAATAATCCAGTAATTGAGTTACAGAAGAGAATAATGTGCTCTTACTACCTGAGCTGTGGTGGGATGGGGGTCCTGATCTTGGAATTAGGTGTCATTTCTCCCAGAATTTGTGCTTTCAGATAAAGAGTGTAAGTTATTCCTAATCTCTGTAATAAGCAACAAAACAAAAGCTGCCAACCTTGTTTGCCTTGGAAACTAATTATATTTAAAACGGAAGTTAAAAAACTATTTCCCCACATAAACAGGGTACTAAAATTAGTGAGGTGGTTTTGTGTGTGTGTTAGAAGATAGGAGTTGTTCTCATTATACAGGCGTTCCTTATGTGAGTCTTCCTAGTTATATAAAGTTGAGTAGAGAAGCAAAAATTTTCCTAACAGGAAAATATTCACTTATTAACAGGCTACTTTAGTATTAGTCCCCACTCAGATATCCTTCCCCATCTAATACCAGTTTGCATTCCAACCCCCATACATCATTATCCAACATTTCAATGAAAATATAATGCAAATTGATTGCAAATCTGGCAAAAAAAAGAAAGAAAGAAAAGATTTAAAGATTTTATAAAGATAGTGAAAAATGACTTTGGAGAACTACTGAAATTACAAAAAGCCATTGAAAAATAAGGATACAGTAGAATTAAATTAGTCCAGGTAACAATAGAAGAGAAAAGATCCTTAGAGATGACAATATAATAGGTTCTTCAAATGAAAATGATTTAAATATCAAAGGATTGTTAGAGGCCCTTCAGGGAATTGATGAAACCCTCTAAAATTTTTATAAAAATGATTATGCTTGCTATGTAAAAGATGAATATGAAAACGAGGATTTCAGTTGGTGCTATAGCTTTCGTATTATGAACAACAAAAAACGTGATTCCTGTGTTCTGATAATTAGCATATTGAAATTGTAACTTAAAATTTATTAAATATAAAAGAAAATCTTTATTATAAATTTTAATTTCATTTTTCAAGATGAGTTTCCAAATTCCAGACATCCTTCCCACTTTTTACTATGAGATTTTTTTCTCTATTTTTATTGGATTTATTTTAAGTGGCCTTTGCCTAATATTAATTTTTCTCAACTAATAAGGTCTAGGTAGGCCTGAATACAAAGAAAGAAAATAGTAGGAGAGGGAAATATGGGAATAATGAGATTGTGAAATAAGAAACCAAATCTTATTTCTAAATTAGGTCTATTCTCATTATGTTCAAAATTGTAGCTATCTTGGGGTACCTGGATGGCTCAGTCCAGTTAAGCTTTTGACTCTGGATTTTGGCTCAGGTCATGATCTCACAGTTTGTGAGTTCAAGCCCCCTGTCAGACTCTGTGCTTGCTGTCAGCATGGACCCTGCTTGGAATCCTTTCTCCCTCCTTCCCTCTCTCTGCCCCTACCCTCTCTCAAAATAAATTAAAAAAAATTTTTTAAACGATTTTTTTTTTTTTTAAACATTTGTTTATTTTTGAGAGACAGAGCACGAACAGGGGAGGGGCAGAGAGAGAGAGGGAGACACCGAATCCAAAGCAGGCTCCAGGCTCTGAGCTGTCAGCACAGAGCCCGACACTGGCCTCGAACCCACAAAGTATAAGATCATGTCCTGAGCTGAAGTCGGATGCTTAACCGACTGAGCCACCCAGGTGCCCCAAAATAAATAATTAAAAAAAAAAAGTTATATCCAGTTTTCCTTTCAGTACTAACATCATTTTAGACTGTTTCCCTCTAGACTTTTCCTCTTAGTGTTACTGTTCTGTTCTCTGAGGCTTGAATATTTGGCGTATCATCTTTATAACTTGACTTTTCTTCCTTCCTTTTAACCAAATAGTCATAAGGTATCAACTTTTCCTTTGGTAATGCATCTCAAATTTGTTCTCATTACTACCACCCTCTGAGCCCATATTTCTTTATTTGAATTAATTAATCTCCTAAATGGATTTCCTGCCATTGGTTTCTCTCTATCCATTTCCATTCTTTATGTTAGTGTCCGAATAATTTTTTTTATACCTCTGCCATCATCTGTTTCCTTGTTCCAGAACTTTCATTGACTTCCATTGATTATAAGATAATATATATGGGGGCGCCTGGGTGCCGCAGTCGGTTAAGCGTCCGACTTCAGCCAGGTCACGATCTCGCGGTCCGTGAGTTCGAGCCCCGCGTCGGGCTCTGGGCTGATGGCTCAGAGCCTGGAGCCTGTTTCCGATTCTGTGTCTCCCTCTCTCTCTGCCCCTCCCCCGTTCATGCTCTGTCTCTCTCTGTCCCAAAAAATAAATAAACGTTGAAAAAAAAAATTTAAAAAAAAAAAAAAAAAAAGATAATATATAAATGCTTTAGCATTTTCATTCAATTTCAGTCATTCAGATCCAATCATTATTTATCATTTATTATTCTAGTAAATAAGTTTTTTTTAACTTCTTTTTGACATACTTGGCAATGCTGACTCTGGGATAGGCACTGTCAGAATTGGGAATTAAAGGTGAATTAGCACATAGTCTGTGATCTCAAAGAGGTCACAGTCTAATGGATGAATCAGACGTACAAATAGATGCAAAAATATATAGCGGTAGTTTATAGAAGAGGGTGATAATCCTATATGCCCCAGGGTAGAGTTTATCACTGTATTTAACAGAGAAAGGACAACATTTAAGCCACATTATAAAAGATGAATGCGTAGGAGTTCATTAAATTCACTAGGTGGGGGTTTTAAGAAGAAAGGGCATTTGTTAAAGAAATAGTACATGCAAAAAATATGGAAGTACCTTTACTTAGGATGTAATTAATAATGCACATTGTAGGAGTTTCTGGTTCAGGAGAAGAGTAGGGAAAAGAAGACAAAACTAGGTAGGTAGAGTCCATACTTAAAGGCATTGTCAAGTCTTTAAGGTTTCTGTGGTTGCTGGTAGTAGGGAGTCTGGAAAACTTTTGAGTGGGAGAGGAAGAGCTCAGCTCTGTATTTTGGAAGAATATTGTGAGTTCACGAGAGATTTAGAAGGCAAGATTGTTAGGAATGGTATCAAAAATGGCTACTGTTTATGAATGCTTACTATATGCCAAGTACTATACTGAGTGCTTTACATAAATTTTTTTTTTTTTTTAAGTTTGTTTATTTTGAGAGAGACAGAGCTAGCGTGAGT